TTTCTGTGATCTTTTCCATTATAAAGATGTCCCAAGTTTTTGACAGCCAATTTTCTACCGTGGGAGCTTGTTGTGCCTTTTGAGATTAGCCGCCCACCCCTCGCCTATTTTGAATGTCTGCATTTTAAGGTGGAGTTTCTAAGCAGTGTGCTAAGAAGGCAACTGTTCCTGGGGTTAGCCCAGCCCAGGGACATTGCTAGGGTGGTTCCCAGGCCCCCCTAAATTTCTGGGGAGCCCATCCCTAAATCCCACATGGGTCCACCTCCATAGATAGTGACCATGGCTTGTGATGTCACTAGCTCTTCCCTATGATGTCATTGGGTCCCAGTTCTTTTAATGACTTAGCAATGCCTCTGGCCCAGCCCCAGCCCCCCCCCCCCGGGAAATTGGAAAGTCTACGCCCTTGGTATGAATATCTTCAAGTAAACAATTTATTCCATTCACAAAATTTAAAAAGTTCTCTTTATAAATCTTTGACAGAACATGAGAAGTTTTTATATCTATGAGATCTTACAACACCCAATGAGTAAGAATGTTTTATATTATCAAAAGGCATGCATGGCAGAAAGATCTAGACAAAAAATTAACAGAAGACCAATGGTTCCAAATCTGGAACTCCCTAGTACATACATCAAAGTTAGTAAACATAAAATTACAAATTTTTAAGGTAATCTCTAGATGGTATCTCACACCAGTACAGCTATCACATGCTGTATCTTCATTATGCTGGAAGCTTTGTGGAGAAAGAGAGACTTTTTTCATAACTGGGGGTCCTGTAAGGTAATAAAAATATTTTTACAGATAATAAAATAAATTAAAATACTTACCTATTATTTAATTGCTGTGGCTCCAGATTTGATTCTCCTCAATGTATGGGATCAACAGCAAATACCTAAAATCAGAAAAGAATTAATTATTATCATGTTAACAGCTGCCAAACATATTATAGCACTTGAATGGGAGAGCAAAAATCCTCCAATGGTACAACAATGGTAAGTAAAATTGTGGGATTATTTTAATTTTATTTTAGACAAGATTTCAGGCAATATAGTCGAAACAGATGTTTTTGATAACCAGCCAAATCTGTTAGACTACTGGCTTCCCTTTTTGGAAAAACATCCTAACAAGCAATCACTTAATAATGACGTTTCCAGACTGTTATTATACTTTATTAATGTTACATTAAAAGCTATTCTAGTTTTATAATAGAGCACTTTGTTAAAAAAAGTTATTTGAAGTGGGCAGTTTTTAAAAAGTTGAGTTAGAAGAATACTTATTGATAATTGCCACATAGTTTAGAACTATATATCGATATTATCTTTTGCAAAGTTAGTATTATAGTTTACCAATTAAAAGTTAAAAAAGAGAGAAGCCATGTTGGATCGGGCTAATGGCCCATCCAGTCCAACACACTGTGTCACACAGTGGACAAAGCCCAGGTGCCATCAAGAGGTCCACCAGAGGGGCCAGAACTTCTGAAGCCTTCCCACTGTTGCCCCAAAGCACCAAGAATACAGAGCATCACTGCCCCAAACACAGTGTTCCATCTATACCTTGTGGCTAATAGCCAATGACGGACCTCTGCTCCATATGTTTATCCAATCCCCTTTTGAAGTTGCCTATGCTTGTAGCTGCCGCCACTTTCTGCAGCAGTGAATTCCACGTGTTAATTACTCTTTGGGTGAAGAAGTGCTTCCTTTTATCTGTTCTGAACCTACTGCTCATAAATTTCAATTGAGTGCCCACAAGGGAAAAGCAATAGCCAAGCATTACAGCATCTTCTCCCCCACACAACCTCCAGCAGTTATCTTTTGCATTCCAACGCAGGAGCAGGATGATAGAAACCAAGCCGGGTGCAACAGGGAAAGGATATGTACACAGAGGTCACAGAAAACAGAATGGCAGCTTGCTGACACAAGGAGTTCTTGTATTGTGAGAAAGGGGGAAAAGTCCTTCTTCCTCTGCCTTCTGTAACCTATGCATAATTTTGTACACCTCGATCATGTCACCCTTCAGCTCTGCCCTACCTTTCTGCAGGGGACGTGCTTAGGGAATTGGCAATCAGAATTACTTGTCAGGTTGTCTTCTCCCTCCGTCTCTCTCTCTGGCTGAGTTGACTGGTGGGAAATAGCTGGAACCATCATGTCCTGATTGGAGCCCATTTCTCATCATGATTTCCGATTCTCGTTTGCAGCCAGTCACATATTTGGATGCAATGCCAAGCTCAGGCTCAGCTTCATAAACCAAGTTAGGCTAAGTGTTGTCTCTCATCTGGGCTGAAATTGCTCCAAGCTCCACTCAGGGAGGGCACTTTGTAATTACAGTCCAGTTGCTGAAAAAGCCATGCCACGGGGCACTGCAAGATCTCACATATAAAAGTGCCGGAACGTATGGAGGAGTCAGCTACTGGGATTGGGAAGGTGGCCATGGGAGAAGATGCACCTGCAGATACACTCAGCCCGAAACATTTAGGAAGCGGCTCAGTAACAAGCATTCAGCCGCAGTATTCTGTGAGGAAGGCAAGAAATGATCAGACTAGGAAAGGGGGTGGCCGTTTCCACAGTGCCACAGGCCAGCCGATTGGCCTTCATTAATAACTAGTGCTGTTGGTCATGATCAGGGTGACCCAACGTAACTGATCATTACTATTAAAATTACCCACTGCTATTCACCAGACAACTATTCTCGTTATACTTTTCCTTAGCAAATTTGTATGCCGTTGTCATGTCTCATTTGCTGTCTAGTCGTTTGTTTTATTATACTGCTATTCAGGTCTGTGGTATCAGAAAGAACATTCTGAAGGGCTTATGGTAAAATTACTCGGTTGGATCCAGTGGAAAGTTCACAGAATGAGTTAGTGAAGTGGATCTTCCCCAAGCTGTCAGCAGAGGAGAGAGAAGCGTGCGCACATGAAAGCGCATGAGAGGCTGCTTTTATTCTGTGTCACATTCCTGGTCGGTCTTGTCCACTCAGACCGGCTGCAGCTCTTCAGGGGCTCGTGCAGAAGAGAGGCCTCTTTCTCCAGTGGTCCCAGTAGTGGGTCGGTCCTTTGAGCCATTACGCCTGGGATTAGCTCCTCCTCTCCACTTGCAGGGCCGGCAAACTTTGATCCTGGAGGGGAGGGGCTTGTCCACCAAGTCGCTCATCTTCCCCCAATGATCCGAAAGGGCGCTTTTGATTCAGTTCCTATTAATATTCTGTGGAAGTAGCTAAAGGATTGGGGGACTGATGCGAGACTGCATTTTGGTTAAAAAGCTTCACTCTGAAACCACTTTCCAGGTTAGAGGCTCAAAGGAAGGCGATCTAACACTTAAGATTCCAGTGTCCATTGGCATTAAACAAGGATGCATCTCAGCCCCCCTACTCTTTAAACTTTTTAAAAATTACCTGGCCCCCTTCCTGAAAGGAATAGATGGACACAGTCCAAAACTAGGGGCACTGCAGGTACCACTCCTTCTGTATGCAGATGATGCAGTGCTTCTTTCCCTTTCAACGATAGGGATGAAAAGGATGTTACTTCGTTTTCTTGATTACTGCGATTTGAATAAATTGACCCTAAGTTATGAGAAATCTAAAATAATTGCTTTTGGGCAAAGTTGGAAACCTGTTAAGTGGAATATTAGAGGGAAAGTGATCGAACAGGTTAAAAGCTTTAGGTATTTAGGAGTTCGCTTCCACTTCAGTGCAAATTGGGTCGCCCACAACAAGGAAGTGTTAAAATCAGTGAATAGTAATGTTCTTGCAATCACCCGTTTCTTTTACACCAAGGGAAATCAGTATATCCCTGCAGCCCTTAGAAATTTCAATGACAGCCTTGAATAAAGCAGTAGAATGCGTACAATCTAATTTTCTAAGGAAAATTCGGGCTCTGCCAACAGGTGTGCCTTACGCAGCCATTTGTTTGGAGACAAACCAAAGATGTTTAGTGACAAGAGCTTGGATTACAACAATCAAGTATTGGCTGCGTATACACTTTAGGAGTAGTCCGAATAGTCTTATTGCGCCCATGCTCTCTGAAGCACAAACATCTGCATGGATGACATTTATACGGGGAAAAAATTCTCTAATCGGGCTAGATTTTGATGACATAGTGTATCTTCCTGAGAGGAGTGCATTTGTTCTGGTTAAGCAGAGACTTGTCGATTGATTTTCATAAGTAGTAAATGCATCTGCAATGATCTATCAGTGGGTTGATTCCTGCATTGCTACTAACCCTTATTTTTCATTCAGCAGAATTAGAGTCAAGTGATGTGGCAAATCTATCCATCCAGTCTTTAATATTTTGACAAATGCTGGGGTTTTCTCATTGCTGAGAAGATCACACCCTGCGATAGGATGGGTAGAGCTAAACCAGGAGGTTTCCTTTCTACCTTGTCCTTACTTACGCCAAAGATCTTGATAGAACACCATCACGACTTGACAAATCTAAAATGCTGTGCATCTGATAATGCCTCATGACATTCAGTCCTTGACTTGTCTTTAAGGTTCATTTCCGTTCTCCAGGGCGTTTCACTCTCAGCCTCTGACCTGCTTTATTTACAGCTGCACACTGATTTTTAACTTCTGATGCAGTCCTTAGTGTTTTCATTTTTAATTAATTAGAAAAAACAAATATTTCATAATTGGTTTCAGTTACTTTGATCACATCCTTGTCAAGTTGAAAGTTCTATTGTAAGGAGTCTTGCAAATGTCATAGAATCACACAGAGCTGGAAGGGGCCCCACAGGCCATCTAGTCCAACCCTCTGCTCAATGTAAGATCAGCCTGGAGCATCCCTGGCAAGTGTTTGTCCAGCCGCTGCTTAAAGACTGCCGGTGTCTGTATTAAGAGAACTTCTGGGAAGCGTAATGGCCCCATGTACAGCGTGTTCCCTTCTTAGAGAGAGGAGGGCCCTTGTTCTAGTGGCTTTATTGGTTCTTTTCCCTGCCTGTATGCCCAGCTCTGTGCTTGCCCAATTCTGTGTTTAATCACCATATTTTCTGTTTTCCTTTTGTCAAAAGGAAGTGTCCAATGAGAGGAAAATGCCAATGGAAGCCGGGCACCGTTCTTCCAGCACCACTTCCCTCACTTTCCCTCACGATTCTCCTCCTGTGTTACCCTTTGATCCCCAGCACTGTTCAGCCCAACTGCAGCACCTCTCCCATGATGCACCAGTGCCTAGCATGGTGGGCAAGACACATAGACAATCAGGTAATCACTGGCCTCTGCGATGGGAGATGAGAGATGGGGTCCTTCCTCCTCTTGTAGCACAACGCTCTGGGCTGTGCTTGTCTATCATGGTGATGTTGTGACTTCTTCAGCTGTCTGGAACGGTCAGTGCCCCCCTCCCCCCCCTTGCACACCATGTGATTTGGCGGAACACGTAAAATAAAACATACAGTCTGCTTTTTAGAATAATGGCATCTTCTTAAAAAGTTGATGCCACCTGAGCGACCCAGTCAGCACGCGGGAAAAGCCAAGAGGCTCACTTTTTAGCCATCGCTCGGTGACCAGCGTGAGTGTGGGAGAGTGCTGCCGTAAACGGAGCGGTGTGTCTAGTGGTGGGTTTGGACCGTATGAGAGATGATGCTTGGTTTTTCTTTATGTACTCTGTAAAGGCCTGTGATGTTTTGTGGGTGGGGGAGGGATAAAGAGTTTGTCCTTTCCCCAATTTACTCCCTCCCCCATACCTCACCCCACTTATCACCCTCACGCCCCACCCTCCCTAGACAGACGGGCGTCATTGTGGTGGAGGAGGAAGAGGTGGTGCTTGGCTTGTTTTCATGAGGGGTGGGGTGTTGAAACCCCTGGCCCTGATCTGCAGGACTTCCTTCCCTTTTTTGTGCTTGTCTGGGTCCTGTTTTCTAGACACACGGGAATCTGATGGATTTGGGGCACGTCTCTTGAAGTTGCTGAACACGTGTGGGATCTTTCACAATTTGAATCCATGTTGGCCACTGAAGTGCCAGTCAGTGGTCCTGACAGCATTGCACCAATGGTATCCTTGCTGGCAGGAGGCTGCCTGGTAGATGATGGCGTCTGAGCATGTGTAATGACTGGAGAGTCCTTGGCAACGGTGTGTTTTATCAGCCAGTGGTGACTTTTCCCGTTTTCCATTCTTTGCCTTTGGTCTTTGCAGCCTGATCCCGTGCATGGTGACAGAAGCATAGAGCCCACTGTGTGCGGGAAAGGCTGGCTGGCTTGTGAGTGTGCTCAGGATTAGTAGCAGCCATTCCCCAGATGTCTGGGAACTGCTCACTCGGTCTGTGGCAGAGGTCTATCCCAGACCCACCTGTGGCCTCATTCTGTGACATGCTTGTACCCACAAGAAGAGGGTGACTGGAAGTTCCTGCCATTTTTATCCCATTTGGGGGGGGGGGGGTTAGGCAGGGTTCTTCCTTCCCAGACTGAATAGGAGAGGGAGGGCGGGAATCCACACGGTGAGATTTCCTGCCTGAAATTTCACGCTGCCTCCAATTTAGCAGAGCATCAGCTGATCTCCTGTGTACAGTCAGGAAGTGCAGCTCTCCTTGCGCACATATTGGATCAATTTTTTAAAATAAGCTGATGTGGCAGACTTGTTTTTTTCCCTTAGACTGAAGACAGCAGAGCAGCAGCAGAAAAAAAAGACAAAGTAGGCTGTAAGCAGTGTTCCCTCTAAGCTGAGTTAGTGTGAGCTAGCTCACAGTTTTTTAGCCTCCGGCTCACACATTTTTGTCCTAGCTCAGGAAGGGATGGGGCTCCAGATCAAACTTATTCATGCCAAAGCCAAATCGCTCGCTCACAACTTTAATGCCAGTAGCTCACAAAAGAGAATTCTTGCTCACAGGACTCCACAGCTTAGAGGGAACATTGGCTGTAAGGAGAGATTCCAGTTGGTGGCTGAAGTCACTCAGAAGGGCGTATCTCTGTGTCCTTCCAAAGCCTCAGTTGTGGCATCGCCATTTGCCCTTCTCGACCTCGTGCTGATCCCCACAGCCGTCAGCACATCAGGCCCTCTATAGGATCGGCTTCTGCGGCACCAGCCAGTGGCGGTGCCTGCGAGCCTGAGAGGCCGCTGTCTTCTTTCCTCCTCCCCCAGTGGACCCTTTGCAAAGCAGCCGTGTGTGCGTCTTTAGCCTTCCCAAACCGTGGTACGGGATGAGCATGCGGCTGTGTTGTCCCGGGGTTACTTGTGAAATGACTGTAATTTGTTCCCCAGTCTTGACAGAATGAATGCACAGAGGCTGTTCCCATAACAACACTCCAAGCAGCAGCCACAATTCCTGCCTCGGCAGGGTCTGGTGCTACTCATTCATGGTGACTGAAGCTCAGTTGACATTCTGGTGCATCACTTTATTAGAGCTAAGCAGAGATTAGCAGGAGATTGTCCAAGTGGCCCTTACTCAAGACAAGTGGATATTATTTTGAGGGAGTAGAGGCAAGAAATCCAAACTGTGGCTGAGCGTATCGACCGGCACTAACTTGAGGGCACCTGACGTCCCAAGTGCTGATCAATCCCTGCTTTGGTGTGTGGCAGAGTCTCTCCCCCAGGTGGCTGACTTAAGTGACTTTGTGCCGTGCCTTTTCCTTCCGTGTGTGCACTGCCTTTCCCAGGTATGCCCTGGCATGGAGTAGTGTGTGAACCAGCAGGCTGAGGCTAGCCAGCCACAATTCCTGTGCTCAAGGCCCCTGTAAGAAATACTCTTAGACCACGTTTGGCAATGGGGAAAGCGTGCCAAGAGCCCAAATAGGAGTTTTAGTGCTGTTTTGTCCTCACGTACTCCTTTTGTAAGTAACTTCCTAGATACACCATTGGTAATCTATTACTTTCATTGTGCAGCTTCAGGAGAAGAAAGCATGACTATATATTTACGTGTCCTTTTCTTTTTCTCAGGAAGTCAGAAGAACATCCAGAAAATTCTGGCTGTGCTTGACAGGAGTGAAACGTTCCGAGAGGAAGACAACCCAAGTGCGGCCGTGAGCGATGGGAGCCTCCCCTTCTTCAGGCAGCAGGGGCCCCCTTCTCCAGGGCCGAGGCCTCTCCCCAGTCAGCATCCCAGAGGGCAAGAAGCCCCCAGCGCCCCCAGTCCCTGGCTGCAGATGGGTCTCACTGCCAGGCAAACAGCGACACTGCCGGACAAGCGGACTGCCCGCTGGGGTTCTGCCCAGCCAGAGAAGGGATCAGAACAGTATTTCCTCCAGCCACCATCACAGCAAGGGAACCATGCATTGTATGTTGTTAACTGCAGGCCGCTGCTTGGCACAGGCTGTGGTCCCTTGAGAATCGTGCGTGAGCCTGCAAGGGACGTGGTTGTTTTTGACACTTGCCCTGTGCCTCCCCCTCAGGCAAAGGCCCCAGGTCCAAGGAGGGTCGACATGCCCCCAGATGAAGACTGGCGGCAGAACAGCTACATCCCTCAGCCGGGAGCCAGGCGAAGGCTGCCGACGCATCTGACAGACGTGACTTACTCATCCCCTCCTGAGGCCCATCGAGAGATGCTGGCTCGTGTGGTGGCTGCCTCTGTGCCGCCCGGCAGCGGCTGGTGAGGTCTCCCACGTGGAACAGGCTGTCTGATTTGTAGCTACAGAAAGGCAGTTGATAACCAGACAGAGAGTTGGGTTGTGTGGTTTTTATTTCTCTACAGTTAGTGTCTGTGCCAATCTTGTCTTACAAAGTAGCTTATACAGTAAGTGGAAGCGAACTGCACTGTATTTCTGTATTGCTGAATCACTGTTACGGGGTGGGGGAACTGTTCAGTGACCCCATTCTTGAATCCTCTCCATGGGTATGTCTCGCTGGCAAGAGAAAAAGATTTTTCATCCAAGTTGAAAATGAAATCTTCTGTTGTCAGCCACAGACTGTCTCTTCAAGGGCCACCTTTAGTACTGGTAAGCCCACCAGCTAACCTGCTGTTTGGTTTTGACTGTCCTCTGTTAGTGGGGGGTGGGATGGGGAGGCAGAGGAAGCTAAGAAAGAAAGTGGCAGGATTGGGAAGCTGACGAGGCAGACGTCCTCCCCGTGGTTGAGGGGGGGGGGGGGGGGGGGGGTGTCACGCAGCAGACGTCCGCCAAGATCCCTCCCGCGTCCTCGTGGCAAATGAACAGTGCTTCAGAGAGCAAAGACTGTTAAAGCTGCATGCTTAAGTATAACCTTGTAAACACAGAATCACTTTAACTATTTTAGGGTCAAACATCCTTGCCTTTGTAAGTATTTTTCAAATAAATCAATCCAGTAGTTATATTCCTTGAGTGGTGTATGAATGGCTTTCGTGTTGCTCAAAGAACAAGTGATCGAGAATCAAAGGGGGGGGTTCTCTCCCCCCCCCCTTTTTTGCGGATTCCTTACCCCTGAGCGCATCATTTTTCTCACCCAGCAGCACTGAAGGCTCTATCATTTGGTTCTTAAGGTACGGAGTTCACTTAGAGTGACCAGGAACAGATTGCAAAAGAAGTTATTGTGGCACTATTTTATTAAGGAAGAAAATATTTATAAACATACAAATTTGAGGACTGTCCGTCAAAGTGTGATGGCCTTTTTGATAGCATCAAAACATCACAGACTTTTTTAAAGAATTCAGAAGTTGTTTAGTTTCTGTTCAGTAAAAAGGTTTTGTTTTGTTTCCTCAAACTGAATGTAAAAACACCCAGGTTCAAAGTTCATTTCTTCTGAAAAGTTCAGTGAAATATTTGCTTGGCATCACACATGTATCTTTTCCTCCCATAACTGGAGCATCCACAACAAGGCTTACATGCAGGATGGAAGCAGGTGTCGGCTTCCTAGTTAAATCAGTTCCCAACAACATTCATTTTGAATAAAGATGAGTTTATTGGGACAGTAACAGATACTGGATTGAAGGCTCAGAGGCTTTTGGATTGGGGACTATCAATCCTTTAGGTCCCACCACCACGATTGCAGATCTCCCAGTTGGGCTCCTGGGTAGTCACCGTGGGGAGGGGGGGCACTTTGTACCCACGCACAGCCTTAAGGGGGAGAGGCCAGTGGCACTCTGTCAGGTATTCCAATGACTCAGCACCAGCACACAGGACCTAAGCAGGTCCAGTTTATTGATCAGAGTAGAGGACACTCCATGAACTTCTGTGTCAGAAATAACATAAGATAAGCGGGCTAAGCAGTTATACCCCATTCATACAAGACCCCCTGATGAGCAGAGGCCAATGAGCAAACACCTGAAAGCGAACGGACCCAGCGAGGGCGGGAGACCGGCCAAGGAGGCAGGACGGAGGAACCAGGCCCTCAAGGCCACGGTGGGAGAGATAACAAAGCAACAGGGAGAAGACAGTTGCAGGGAGAAGACAGTTGCAGGGAGAAGACAGTTGCAGGGAAAAGTGGGGGGTGGGCGAAGCGCACAGCCCACACATTCCATCACATTAGACATCCCATGGCAGTGTCAATCGACATCCCACCCTCCCAAGACCCCCCCCCCACTTTAGCTGGAAAGCAAGCATTTTAGCGACGCACCAGGCGAGGGGCACTGACATCAGAGGCCTCCACCCACTCCCTATATTGCCGGCCGAAATCCACCCACTCCACCAAATACTGCAAAACCCCATGCTTTAAGCGAGAGTCCAGGATGCACGCGACTTCAAAATGCGGCTGACCATCCACCATCGGGGGGGGGGGGGCCCACGGGGCATTCCGGGCGCCAGACATTGGTCCCTGGGTCCTTCCTGAGGAGAGAATAGTGAAAGACGGTGCACCTGCTTCAGATTCTTAGGTAAATCGAGTTCAACAGTCACATCGTTTATTTTACGGACATCTGGGTGATGGGAGTTGCTGAGACCTTGTTCCACCCCCAACACCTGCAGCAGTTCCTTCCAGAACTTAGCGATGAACTGCGACTCCCGGTCCGAAATGATCTTGCGGGGGACGGAATGCAGCCTCACAGTGTGGTGCATGAAGAGCTTGGCTAGTGATTTGGCCGAGGGCAGTTGTTTGCAAGGAATAAAATGTGCCTGCTTTGAGAGCGTGTCGACTGCCACCCAAATCACCGTTTTGCCTCTACTGGGTGGTAAGTCAGTTTTCTGGTCTCCATTTCCCCATTAGGCAGGTCTGGCAGGAACCCACATGTTGGGATATGTCTGCCTCTGCTCCACTAAATTGTCACTTTGAATGTCCTCCACGTCCCCCTCTGTGAGAGCTGTTTTAAATTTGCAAATCCAGGGTTCAGCGTCACTAGGAGTCTCTGCTTTTGCTCGGCTGTGAGTTACCACCACCCACGCCCCGCCCCCCCAACTGGGTGAGTGTGAACATTGATTCTATGACTTCTTCCCTCTGGCTGTCATGTTGTGGGAGGCGGGACAGTGCATCAGCCAGAGAGTCTGCCTTCCCGGGGAGGTGCCGGAAGGTAAAATGAAACCTAGAGAAAAACTCCACCCAGTGGAGCTGTTTGGCATTCAGGCGCCTGGGTGTACGTAATGCCTCCAGATTTCTTGTGGTCCATCCACACCTCAAACGGCCCCCTCCCCCCCTCCAGCCAGTGCCTCCAGGTCATAAGGGCTAGTTTAATGGCCACTGCCTCCTTTTCCCAAACAGCTCAATTATGCTCCGTGGGGAAGAACTTCTTAGACACATATGCCAGGGGGTGGAGTTTTCCACTCTGGGGCCTCTCATTCCAGTTCCAGAAAGCTTCTGCTACCCCCAGGGGCTGTCATTCCACTCTGGTGCCTGTCATTACAGTCCCAGACCACTCCTGCTACTTCCACGGACTGTCATTCCACCCTGGAAACCCCCCCCCCCCCAGCTTCTGTAGAAGAGGATGAGAGAGTAGAGAAAGAGGCTCTGGGAAAGAGGGTTGCCAGGCCCCCTGTGGCCACCTGCAGGGCGGGGGGGGGGGGGGGGTGCCAGAAGGTAGCCTCGCCTAGTGTGCAAAAAACCCTGGGACCGGCCCTGATGGCAGGCACACCATAAAATGCATCGGGCGCCTGACAGCAGGTCCATTTCACCTGTGCCACCCTGGACTCTCCTGTGAAGGTAGGTGAAGCTCCACGGTGGTGCTGGAGGTAAATCAGTTACCCTCATTCCTCTCAGATTCTGCATCCTCCTTCTTTAAGTGCTGAAACTGACCATTTTGTCTCCAAATCTTTGCACAACCTTAAATTCTGTAACCATGATATTTTGCTGCAGTAAAAGTTGTACTGTAGCAGCCTGGCAGCTAACCCCTTCTCCAAAGCTGTGTCATAGATGGAGTACTTTTCCCCCTGACATTTTACCTTCCAAAGGTGGTCAGCAGCAGTTTTCTCCTTGAAGCCATCCAGATTGTTTTCATCCGTCTTTGTAGCATTTCTTTATTATATTCTGTTCAAATACTGATTTCAAAACAAGCTAGCTGTCGCAGCACCCATAATAAATGCCACATTTCTGCCCTGCCACGTCCAATTTTTGGCCATCGTCAAGCTGACTTCTGGCGACCCCCAGTGGGGATAGAAGACAAAGGGACTGTCATGATCTGGGCTGTGCAAGCAAAGGCCTAGCAGGCCCAGGGAGCCTAAGTAGCAGTGGGAGGAGGCCAGGCCCACAACTCCCAGAAGCCCCTGAGAGGTTTTGGTACCAATTTTAGCCAATCACAGAGAAAGAGGACTTATAACAAAGAGCTGGTACAAGAGGAAAAGAGGAAAAGGGCAGAGCCAGAAGGAAGGCTGCTGCAGGGAAGAGACCCTCGTCCTGAGAGGAAGGGTGAGCAGACTCAGGCCCCACTGAGACAGTGATCTGGGGACAGTAAGTTTAAACGCATTAGGGCATTTGGTTTCTTTTCTCTTCACCCCCTTACTGATATTGTTCTTGCACCTGGTTTGTTTCCCATATTGGGTTGACCTCCTGTAAAAATAAACCTTTTCCTTGTTGTTTACTCTGCCTGGTCCTCATGCTTATTTTGGCCAAACAAGGGAGGTCTGAAGGTCTTCGGAGGGTGTTCTGGGCCTCCTCAAGGGATCCTAAAACCAGAGTGGTGGCAGCGTCAGGTAACACCGCACCTGAGCCATGACAGGGACAATCAGAGGTGGCTTGCCATTGCCAGCCCTAGTATTGCTTGGAGGTTGCCCTTCCAAACTCTAGCCAGGGTCAGCCCTGCTGAGCTTCCAAGATCTGATGGGATCGAGCTTGCCTGGGCCATCCAGGTCAGGGTGCCACCCCCGATTTCAAGCTCCTCCTTGTTTCCTGTTGTCATAGAATGTGCGATGCGCTTCCAAAGGACTTGCAGACATTGGGATGTGGCTCCTGCAGGTTTGTTCATGTTTGGAAGATACTGTCTGTTTAGGCCCTGTGATGGCCAGCAATGTTTGTGAGACCTGATTCAAGTGAAGCCTTGTAGAAAGTAGGTCAATTCATTTAACTCTTCTGCAATGAACAGGCTTCCATTTATTTCTGACTTGTTATCATTGACAGACGTCTGAGATTAACACAGAATGGAAAGCAAATAAAGCAATAAAATGTCCTTGTGCTTCTCTTGAAAATGTCTTTCCACCAAGTTAGTGAAGAAGGTAAAGAACTACATATCATATCTTGGAATTAAATTGCCGCTAAACCCTGCAGATTTAATTAAACTCAACCATGAAGCAATCAATGCCGAAGCGTCTGACCTGCTACGGAAGTGGAATGATAAGGCGATACCATGGCTAGACTGCATTCAGACAATTCAATCTTGACTCTACACATGGACATCACCAGATGGGCAACACCGAAATCAGATTGACTATATAATTTGCAGTCAAAGATGGAGAAGCTCTATCCAGTCAGTAAAAACAAGACCTGGAGCTGACTGTGGTTCAGATCATGAGCTACTCATTGCAAAATTCAGACTTAAACTGAAGAAAATCGGGAAAACCATGAGGCCATTCAGGTTTGACCTAGATCACATCCCTGATGAATATACAGTAGAGGTGAAGAATAGATTCAAGGGTCTGGATTTGATAGATAGAGTGCCTGAAGAACTATGGACAGAGGTTCGTGACATTGTACAGGAAGCAGCAATCACCACCATCCCAAAGAAAA